ACTTGCTTCTGATGGCTATGGCGCCTGTGCGCCCACTCAACACTCTGCCGACACTGTATCCCCGGCAACTGTTCACATGCACGCTACTCTGGATCTCCCTGGATGTCCCACACACCCACCCACTCCACACAACACTCTCACACATACACTTTACAGCCTATCTCTAACGTACGGCAGCTATGGCTGCCTTCTACCTCCTAGCTACTAGCAGCTATGGCCGCTTTGTCTCCCTCTTAGCCCACTTCTTCTTCGGGCACTTGCAGACCTCCTTGCACAAGACGCTCAGGCAGCGCTTCTGCATGGCTCACAGGCAGAATGAATGAATGACTGGACGCTGCCTCTTGATTTATACTCTGGATGGTCGCTGGTCTGCCCCTTTCCACCGGGCCCAGGGTGCACACAGTCCCACATGGCACTTGCTGACAGGACAAAGTGCGACTGGGACTGGGTACCACTGACTAGGCGAGTTTGGACTAACACTTGCCCAGTTGCCGACAGACCTTAGCCTAAGACTACACGAAGGGTCACTTCCGGACCTTCTGGAAGTCCGTAGTCTTGACCCTTCGGTACTGTAGCAGCTACGACCTGACCTTTCAACACTGTAGCAGCTACAACTTCTACCCCTACTAGGATTCATAACCGACAGATCTACAGTTGGAGACCCGACGACCACACTAACCTGCGACAGACAACAGGCGACTACCAAGACACAGGTCGCGGGTTCAAACACACATTGGGTAACTAACACTATACACGGGTAAGGGCGAGATCTGGGGATCGAGCCCTGGTAACGGGAACTGCTACCATAAAGGTGAAAACCGTTTCAAGTAATTGAACTGGATTTTTTTTTGGTTTTGTTAGTTGAAAGGAGAAGCGGAACGGAGATCTCAGATCTGTGGCAGGCTTTCCCGTAGTACGTGGCACTTGCACGACTGTGGCCGCTGCCTTGCATAAGAAGGAAGGAAATTTGCTCTTTGGCTTGGTTTCTACTGTGATGATAGCGATCCTATCTATATTGTTGTCGATGCTCAGCTCATCACATCTCAGCTCAGCTCAACTCAACTCGGTTCAGCTCGGTTCAGTTCGGCTCAGCTTATGTTCGTCATTCCCAGTTCTTAGATGAGCTTAGCTGGGCTCAGCGCAACTTGACTTGGCTCGGCTCAGCTCAGCTCAGCTCAGCTCAGCCCAACTCAGCTCAGCTCAACTGGACTTGGCTTGGCTCGGCTCATTTCAGGTCCTTCATGCCCATTTGTTAGATCAGCTCAGCTCAGCTCAGCCCAGCTTAACTGACCTCAGCTCAACTCAAATCAACTTGGCTCGGCTCAGCTCACCTCAGCTCAGCTCAACCCGACTTGGCTTGGCTCGGCTCGGCTCAGCTCAGATCCTTAATTCCCAGTTCTTAGCTTTAGCTCAGCTCAGCTCAGTTCAGCTCAGCCCAGCCGAACTCCGCTCATCTCAGCTCATCTCAGCTCAACTTGGCTCGGCTCAGCTCAGCTCAGATCAACTTGGCTTGGCTCAGCTCAGCTCAGCTCAGCCCAACTGAGCTCAGCTCAACCTGACTTGTCTTGGCTCGGCTCAGCTCAGGTCCTTCATTCCCAGTCCTTACATCAGCTCAGCCGAGCTCAGCCCAGCCCAGCTCAGCTCGGATCAGCTCCGCTCAGCTCCGGTCCGCTCAGCGCAGCTCGGCACAACTCGGCCCAGCTCAGCTCATCTCAGCTGGACGGACAGAAAATCGGTCCTCTCAGCTCAGTCCAGCTGATCACGGGTTGATGCATACCATTCTCTCGTCGAACAGAATTCCTGCATGTGCATTGCCACTGCGTATTCGGAGCAATTTTCTGGCCGGGTAATCAGACATGCATACCATTGAAACGTTTTTCACCTTTCGGCAGTCAACGATGCGGGCCCTAGAGTTCGATCCCCAGACCTCACTTTGCCCATGTACAGTATCGACTCGACCCCTGAGTGTTTGAACCCGTGATCTGTGTTTTGGTAGTTGTTTGTCGTCTGTCGTAGGTCTGTGTAGCGGTAGGGGTTTGATCTGTAGGTCTGTCSATTAGGAGTCACAGCTCTGTAGAGGTCGTGGCTGTAGAYGYTCTGAAAGGTCAAGGTCGTAGCTGCTACAGTCCTGAAAGGTAAAGGTCGTAGCTGCTACAGTACCCGAAAGGCCAAGTCCACAGCCTTCCGGAAGGTCCGGAAGTGGCTTTTTGAAGTGTCCCACGTTTAGTCAGAGGCATGTGGGCAAGTGGTGGGCCTTTAGTCAGAGGCAAGTGGGCAAGTGGTGAGCCAACTGCGTTACGTGGGCAGTGCGACTGCATCGAGTTGGCAGTGCAAACCCATGCAGTCAGCGGCACCTGTCCCAGTCAGTCAGAGTCCAGTCAAGCAAGTACCGTGTGGGACTGTGTGCACCAAGGGCCTGGGAAAGGGGCAGACCAACGAGTTACAGAAGTATAAATCAAGAGGCAGCGCCCAGCCATTCATTCATTYGCTGCGTAAGCCATGCGGAAGCGCTGCTACAGCGTCTTGTGCGAAGGTGGTCTGCAGGTTGCCCGAAGACGAAGTGGGCTGAAGGGAGATCGCAGCCATAGTCAGTACAGGTAGTGCGGCCATAGCCGCTGTGGGAGAAAGTTAGACATAGCGAATGTGTGTGGTAGTATTCAGGGTGATCCAGAGTGAGCGTGTTACATCTTCGACTCACACGGGTCCCACCGGACCCGACTTAGGGCCGGAGGGACACACCAGGGCCTAAAGGCCCGACCTTTGGGGTTTACAGGCCCTAAAGGCCTGATTTTGGACTATCACCCATCGGGTAGGCCCAAACGACACTTCGTTTGGGCCTGGCGGCGCTCTTGAAGCTGCCGCCCGCCGATTGAGGCTGAACCGTCCATCTGGACGGT